CCAAAACCCCTGAGCCAGGAGCCCAAAACCCCTGAGCCAGGAGCCCACTCTGTCATCACTGTCAGCACAACCAAGCTCTGAACAGCCAGACCTCCCCTGAAGCCCTGAACCCAGTCAAACTGGGTCAAAGTAGGGAATTAAATAAAAAAAAAAAGGTTATAAGTGCTCTGGGTTAGAAACAACAGGCAGGAAATCTGTTGGGATCTGTCCCTATGTCAGGAATATTGAATTCATGATGCCCCCACGTCTAAAAGATGCACTTGCTGTTGAACCACAACGTTTTCCAAGGAGGAACCAAACACAGGAGCAGCTGCAGTGAGTGGGACCATTCCAACAGCTCCGAGACCACAGAAAATCATAGAATCATGGAATGGTTTGGGTGGGAAGGGAAATTAAAGATCATCTTGTTCCACCCTCTGCCACAGGCAGGGACACCTTCCACTACCCCAGGCTGATCCAACCTGGCCTTGAACACTTCCAGGGATGGGGCAGCCACAGCTTCTCTGGGCAACCTGTGCCAGGGCCTCTCCACCCTCCCAGGGAGGAATTCCTTCCCAATATCCCATCTAACCCTGCCCTCTGGCAGTTTGAAGCCGTTCCCCCTCGTCCTGTCACTCCAAATAGTCTCTCTCCATCCTCCTTGTTGACTCCCTGGAGGCACTGGAAGGCTGCAATAAGGTCACCCCAAATCCTTCTGTTCTCCAGGCTGAACAATCCCAAACTCACCCATCACACAGTCCCTTTGGCTCACCTGTCCTGGCTGTGCCCCTTCCCAAAAATCTGGCTCCCTCCCAGCCTGGTGTGAGGGGGGGAGCATGGAGAAGCTCCTCAGCACTTCCCAAAACCCTGCTGTGTTCCCAACACCTTCCCAGCTCCAAATCCACGGCACCACAGATGGGGAAAATTAACTCCCAGACCCAACCCAGGGTTTTCAACACTGATTTTTTTTTTTTTTCCACACACAGACAGACAGGAGATCCCAACACTTCCATCTTCAAACCACAACTGTGAGGGTGAGACAAGAAGGGACAAGTCTCCTGGACAAGTAGCCAACAGAGATGACTCATGAGCCGTTTGGAAATGAATGAAGAAGATCTTTATGAAGGTTTCGTGTCACGCCAAAGTCTCCTCTCACAAGACAGTCTTATGGAAAGATGAAGTTCTGCACGTGGCAGGAGAGCTCCCACCCGCAGCTCTGTTTGTCAACAGCAGCAGAAATGCCCAGGGAGCTGCTGAAGAAACCCCACTGTTCCCACGGAACCCCCGGGAAAAACACAGCCCAGGGAACGGCGACCCCTCATCCCACCCGCTCCCAGGTGCTGCCTCTTCCCGGCACCCCGGCAAGGGAGAGCTGAAAAACCGGGAGAGGGGCAGAAAAACTGGGAGAGGGAAGAATGGAATGTCCTGAGCTGGAAGGGACCCACAGGGATCATCCAGTCCGACTCCTGGCCCTGCACAGACACCCCAAATTCCCACCCTGTCCCTGAGAGCGTTGTCCAAACATTCCTGGAGCTTTGGCAGCCTTGGGGCTGTGCCCACTGCCCTGGGGAGCCTGGGCAGTGCCAACCACCCTCTGGGGGAAGAACCTTTTCGTAATATCCACTGAAACCCTGCTAAATCCCCCTCCGGTCCTGCTCCCTTCACCCTACCAACCTCCTCACAGCCCCAAGCTCTCCGCAGGCACCCCCAGCCCGCCTAAACCCCATAAACTGAGCAACCCCATAAACGGAGCCCTTCACTCTCCACCGCCTTTCACCTGCCCCCCAACCCTCGCAAGCCCCCCCATAGACTCCTCACCCCAGGAACCCTCCATTCACCCCCAGAACCGCCTCCCTTTCCCCCCTAATCCCCAGCCCAGCCCTTCCCCGGCCCTTCCCGGCCCTTCTCTCACCGCCGGGCGCGGGGCCGTCCCCGGGCCCCTCATCCCCATCCCCTCCGCGGGGAGCGTCTCCGGCGGCCTCCGGGGCGAAGGGGTGTCCCTGGGAGAACTTGACGTCGCGGAAGAACCTCCTGGTCTCTCGCAGGTTGTGCTGCAGCCGCGCCAGGTGCCGGTTGTAGTGTCCGAAGGAGCGGCAGAGCTCCCGCACGGCCCCGGCCCGGCCCGGGGCCCCCTCGCCCTCCATGTCCTCCGGGTCCGCCCCGATATCCCCTCCCCGCCGCGCCGCGCGCTCGGCCCCGGCCAGGGCTGCCGCCCTTTTTTTTTTTTTTTTTTTTTTCCCCCGGGGGGACCCCCCCCGGGGGGTTCTCCCGATCCGCCCCCCCCCCACCCCTCCCGCCCGCCCCTCCCGCCTCCCCGACCCCCGCCTCCTCCTTCTCCTCCTCGTGCCGAGGGGCAGCGCCTCCGCCAACCGCGCTGCGTGTGCGCGGAACCTTTATCGGCGCGCCGCGGGGCAAAGGGGGAGGAGGCCGGCGAAGGACGCCGCGCGCGGAGCGCGCCGGGAGATGTAGTTCGCGCCGCATCTACGTGTAGTTCATGGTGCTGTACGCCCCGAGCATGCCGGGAGTTGTAGTGCGCCGCGCAGCGAAGCCCCGTGGGAACTGTAGTCTCGCGAAGAGGCGCCGTCGCCGACCCATCTCCGCGGCCTCCGCCCACCCCCGCGGGGGGAGGGAAGAGAAAAAACAACCAGACAAAAAAATCCCAGAACGACCATAAAATAATGTGTTTAAAAAGGAGAAAGAAAAGGGGAAGGAGAAGGGAAAGGAAAAAGGGAAGGGAAGGGAAAAGTGGTGCTGTCGCTCCCGGTCGCGGAGCGCTGCGCGGCACCGGCGCGGCAGGAGGCGGGACACGCCCCGCGGCGGCTCTCGCCAATCACCGCAGGCCGCCCCGCCCCCTGAGCGCTTCCATTGGCTAACCTCGCCGTCACTCAGCGGGAGGCTCGCCCTCCAGCCCCGCCCCCTGCACCGCCTCCGCCAATCGCCGCAACCCTCTCCGCCCCCCGCGCGCCGCCATTGGCCCGCGGCGCTGTC